TGGGCTTGCGGGAAGGCTACCGAGGTCACGATGGCCGAAGTTTCGGCAATAACGTGGTGCCGGGATACAGCCCGCGAAGTTTTAAAAGCTCCGTTCTCTGGGAGTTTACAAAGTAATTAGAAGAGTTGGTGGAAATAGTTCTAGCTTTGGCCATTAGCTGTGCTGTGGGCCTTAGCTCATCGTTTTCCTTTTATAAGAAATAAAGCTGGGTGCGTTAGGCCAAAGATGCCGTGTTGTTTTTCTAAAGGGGTGTTTAGGGGCAGCCCCCGGCCTGAGGGGCCGGCGGTGCGGGCAAGGGCGCTGCTTCGCTGTTTAAACTGATGTGCAGAAAAACAGATGAGAAGTCGCAGAGTTTAAGTCCTTAAAATTCGGTGTAGTTTAATGGTACATTTAATTTACCTCACAAGTAGGGAACTTTAGAATGCTTTTCTTAAATGCATGGTATGTCTGGGGAAGTTGCCTGATCATTTTTAATGAATGGTCATTTTTGGAGTATGTCACTGAAGGGTAAGGGACTTCTGTAACGTTTTCCTGTGTCCCTTGATGGGAAGGGGCAGTCCGTGTCTCCTCTCCTTTCTTTTTCTCCCAGTCTTTTCCACACGAGGGAGATTTTTCAGGGCATTACTGATTTGTTTCATCTGGTTAGTTTTATCTGTGATAGCAAATGCTCCATTTATTGCTGTAGTATGGATAAGGTCAAATTATCCCAGTTACAAATTATTGCTGTGAAATGCAGCATTTATAAATTATCATCACATCCTATTTGAAACGACTTGCAGATCACCCATTTTAAGTAAGATGGATTTTCTTTTGCCTCTCTTGCAAATGTCTGCGTACTGTACTCATTCAGTAAGAATATGGGTAGTTTCCTAAAGAAGGCTTGCTCCAGATAGATCTGGAATTGTGTTAATTACTAAAAAATAGCTACTACTTGTCTCATTCGGTACTGGTGTTTCTCCACTCATCTCTCCTCAGGTACATAATGATATTTCAGTTGTTTTACCCATTCCTATCTGTCTTCTGCACTGAATCATTTCCTACTAAAATTTAATCCTGCGGGCTTCCTGATTCCATGCAGATTAGCCTATCTAAATCCGAGTCGTTTCAACATCAGCAGATTTTTTTCATTGTCCAATGAACAGTATTGAATCATTACCAAAAACGAATACTAACCTCTCAACAAATTTAGCCTTTTTTCAATTACTGTCTTAAGACGCTCCCTGTTCCTGAACATAGAGGAGTTACTGCAATTTCATTTTGTTACCGTATTCAGCCAGGATTTTGACAACTAAGCAGCAAAGGAAAACTTTTTTACTCTTTCCTTCCTCCCTGACTTCCCTAGCATAATAAGGTTACTTTTTTTAAATGTCTGATCCTGGAGCTGAACACAGTGATTTCTTTTAAAGCAGCATAGACAAAGGTGTTTCATCTTTAGATGAACTGTATTTTGTACAGTAACAAGATCTACCATATAAAAACAAGTACTGTTACTGATAAGTAGTAATAACTGTATATGACCGTTATTAAAGCCTTGTCCATGGTGAGAACAACAATAGGAAGGATAAGGGTGTTGATTACATGAGCGGTCTTCATTTGCTACTTACCTTTTCACAATAAGTGCATAGCCAGATAGTTTAATAGACTAATGTGTATGTCAAAAATACTTGTTCCCATGCTGTCGCCTGCTTGTGCCCCTACCAGTTAGGCCTTTTTCTCTCTCTTCACTTCTCTTGACAGTTTAACTCATTTTGTTCTACAGATAGTACATGCAAATTAAGACACATCTCTGCATCCAGAAAACCAGTGCAATGTTCATTTATACCCTTGTGTTGAGTTGAACGGTGCAGTAAGTTACAGGCTTACAGTTCTATCTAACATTCAGTTTTAACTCTTGGCAAAGCAGATTTTTAAAAAGCAGTTGTGCATTTATTGTTTTTCAGATATAATCTCTTACTTACATTTTAAGTTAGATCCCTGAATTGTTGCAAAACTTTGTGATAGCAGTACAGTAGACAGAAATCCAATTTGAGTGACAGCTGTAATGCCAGATGTAAGTCTCAAACTCAGGTTGTGTGTTTTTTGTTTTTTGTAATATATCTATCAGAGTATGTATGAATATTGGAGGAATCTCTTGACAAAATAAGTTAATGATGTCAAGTGTTTGCATCTACTGGAAGAGTACTTAAAATTATGTTTTCCTGGATTTACTGCATGTGGAATTTGCTAGGTTGGCCACCCTGGAGATTTAAGGCTTCCCTTTTATCTACAGAACAGGTATTGCAGGCTGTGCCTCTCCAAAAGGTTTCAGCCACTGCCTTCAGATACTGGTTTAGAGGTGTGACTCACAAACAGACAACTTTCATTGAGGTATCTCATGAGCTTACTACATGCCTACAGAGCTGGCTTGTCCTGGAAGCCGTGTTCCTGAACCATCCGTTTCTCGTCATTCTGCAGAAAACCAAACAGGTTTGATTGTCTTAAATAAAAGGTTGCCTTGAAATACAAGGCTGTTAGATAACTGTTTCACACACACCTTAGCTATCTGTTCAGGCAGGGGAGGATGAGCCTGCTTGGGGGCACTAAAATCAAAAGGCATATCTCTTCATGAGCCGAGGTCCTTAGTCTTCAGCCTGTCTGCTTGCTGGTTTAGAGTGAGTTAAAGCCATTGTATTGTAATTCATCAAAGATTGCGCAGTCTATCAGTCTACAACTGTGAATCACACAAGCCAATCATGGTACCAGTTTCTCTCATAGCTATTTATCTGCAAGAGACACTTTAAAGAGGGTAAAATCTTAAACACAGTATGACAAGATATGTTTAAATTACAGTAGTTGCGCTGTAGTAGATAATTATGCCCAATTATGCTTACAGAAGAGATTTCTTGCAAAGGAAGTGGAGAGCCACGCAGTCATTCGGGAAGGTAATTTGTTCTGAGGGAAAGTTTGCAATTTTAAGACATTTTTATGTCTTTTGCTGATGCCCCGTTCTCTACGTATACTTTTTTTTTTTTGAGGCTTTTGGTTTTTGCTTCTCAGGAGTCTTCATGTTGTCGTACGGTTTTGTAGGTATTTCGCAGATGGAGGAAGAATGCTGTAGGCTATTCTGGACAAAATTTCTAATGCATGGTTGCCTGTGATTGGGAGAGCTGGACTTGACAGTCCATCAGGATCTGGATAGTCCCTTCTAGTCCTCTGTTCCTAAGCCCATTTGTGATGCAGATAGTTGTCCACTGACCTGGAATGAGAATGCCTATTCATTTCTGACAAACAGGCTTCAGATAGTAATGTCTTTTCATTACTAAAATGAGCAAAATGGCAGAGATATGAAAGGCTTGCATTTTGCATCAATTCCCTTGAACCATTTGATTCGGTATGCATAAAAACAGTGATTCATGTTGCATTTGTATGACTGTACATACACATGTGCAGGTATGTGTGGGAGAGCACACATAAGAATTGTGTCAGGAAATATGACTCTATTTCTAAATAGAGACTTGATTATTGATCATAAATGGTAGCTTCTAAAATACATAGAGCTTGATGGAGGAGTGGGAGATTCTCGACCCGTCATCATGCATAGATATGCTTTTTGTTTGCTTATTACACTTCACAGATCTCTTTACATTTTAATTATGGAAAATTCATTTTAACACATTCTATCTATAAGTGAAAATGAAAAGAGGAGAAATAAATTCTGTTGATAGAAACAGAGCTCAGTAATTTAATTGTTTTGCCTAAACTGGGCAAGCATAGGCTTTTGTTTCTACAGGATAATTTTTCAGAATTATTTCTAAAGGAAATACAAATTGAAGATGTAATTTTTTAACACTAGAGTAATTCTCAAAGGCAGCTTCCAAAATGATGTTTGCATGCTTTTTGAAATTATTTTTTTATTTGTACATTCAAATCAGAGAATTTATTCCAGTATTTCCACACAAAATTGTGTGCTTGTGTTGCCGTTTTTGTGAGCAAAATTTATGGGTGTAATTTTGGAGGCTATCTTTTGGCCTGATGGGAAAATACTTACATAAATGATGAGTGATACCAGTGGACATCTCCATTCTGTATGTTAATCACCTGTTCCAATGCTGTAAATAATGCTTGCCACATAAATTACAGATTACACATTCCAATTCTACTATGGTTCTACCTCTATTACAGCATGAATCTTTTTTTTATACCTATTCGGATAAGAAAATTTGTAAGGATTAAAAAGGAATTCTGATCCACGCTATTTTCATGTGTAAAACAATCCAGATAAAATAGTCATGACATTAGAAAAGGAGTAACCATGTAGAAAGTACGATTCAGGGCCAATCTTGCAATAGGATCCACATGTATCAATTCTTCATCTTTTTTTTCTGTGAGATACTGCTTTACTGGTAACTGAAAATGCAACAACTCTGTCAGTGCTACTGGGGTAGTTTTACTGTCTTCCCTTTCTCAGGTCTCACTTGAATATCTTCTGACATGTTACGCCTCAGGCTTTTATTCTTCTAAGATGGAATTATGTAACTTGCATGCTTTCTGAGAACAGGACTTGGGTTATGCTCCTGCGCACCACACAGGACTAAATTATCAAAATAGCTTAGAAACAACTTGCTCAAACAAAGGACTATTAATTCATACGTCAGCAGTACCAAACACAAAGTTGAAGTGGAAACCTAAGAAGAAAAAAGGAAAAATTGTGTATATCTTTCTCCTCACCTGTGTTGCTCAGATGGATGAAATTTGCAGTTGGGAGGCAGAACGTGCTCTTGGTCTCTTGTCTCTCAGCTTGGTAGTTTTTCATTAAAAACAATGGGCAGCATTTCTTAGGTTTTTCCTCTTTCAGACCGCAACCCTTTTCTTAGTAGCTTTCAGGGTTTAAGTTCCTTTTGCTCACAAGGTTGGTCTCAGGGAGAGTACCTCATTCTGGTCTGCAAGGAGTCGCTCAGTGTTACCGCTGCTTTTTGGAAGCTTTGCATCCAAAAGTGACTCACTCGTTTCAGTGTTTTACCTTTTGTTCTTTATTCCTCAAAATAGTAAGACGTCTCCTCTTATTGCAACTCTGTAACTTCAAGCAGAAATACAAAACAGAACAGGTAAAAAGAGCCACATGTAAAATGCAGAACGGATCATACAGATTCCCACTTAATCATAAATGTACACCTAAGCGGCCGTCAGACAGTGAAGATCCCGTAATAAATATCCCTCTAGGTCCTTTTTTTGTTCTAATTACCTAGTTCATTGTTCTCAGAGAACCAGCTCCGCTGGTTCTGAAATCCAGGGCTCAGTCAACAAGCTGTGTTACCAGAACAGTTTTTTCAGCAGCATTTCTGAAATAAGCCTGTGTGAACCTGTTTTTGTGATTTGTTGTGTGATTTTTTTTTCCCCCCCACCCATATCTATTTTAAAACTATTTAGATCGTATGGTACTTTCTAAGGATAAGAAATGCCCCTATGACATCTTCTACTTATGTATTCTGATAGGAGATATATTTGGCAAAAACTCAATATTTTTTTCAGTTCTTTAGCTCCTGAAGTTTAAATTTTAATGTGGCTTCAGCTATCTACTGGCAATACTTCTGAGGCTGTAGATAACACTATATAGATAAATCATCAATCTTCATTTAGTTAAGTGAATTCTTGAGTATCAAGTCTAATTACTGAAGATGCATTTAGTATAGAAACGTAAACTTCTTTGTGTATGGAATAAATCACCGTACACTGAGGATAACGGGATGATTTTCTTGAGATACGAGTGATGATAATAGAAGTGGCTTTTATTTCAGAAAATAATTAAGTGACCAGTATTAATTACTTAATAGTACTTAATGGTATCACAATATATTGCAATGCTTTGTATCACTATCATGTAAGATTCAGAAAAGTATCAGATTCATGAAAGTATCACCCTATATAAACAGCATGTAAGTTTGTCCGAGTTCTTTATAGTATGAGGCAGCACCTATGCAACTTGCCTAGTTATAAAAAATAAGTATATGTTTAAGCATCTATGAAGCTGCTGACTCAGAGACCAATTCTGTTCTTTGTATGTTCTCCCTTAATGCAGAAATGCTTTTCTGCATGAAGATGTATTGTTTTTACACGAAGAACTGTACCATATTGTTCTGTGGATTCCTGACATGTTTTCTTCAGTTTTCACTTTCTTACAGGAGCTGTCAGATCTTAGGAGAGAATATTTGCATTCTATCTTGGAAAAGCACAAGGCGAGGAACAAGCCTTCAGAGTAGGAATAAAGAAATGGCTTTTGCAGTAGTTGCTGTATTTCCAGTGCCTAAACCTCAAGCGCATATGGGCCAATAAGTCTGTGATCCAAATGGAGAGACAGATGGAAAACATTACAGTGACTGGTTTCTGGCATTAAAGAAAACAACCCAGAATTTTTATTTAAAAAAATTATATTCTGCAGTTTACCTTGTTTGCACACTTTTCAAAACATGAAAGATTTCAGTTAACTTGTGTAGCAAGCAGATTCTGATATATGCTGTGCTCTCTTTAACAGCCTTTTCCATTGTATCGTGTATGTAACATCGTTACATTATACAACTATATTTCAGTGGCATTGCGTGAATTAACATTAATTTAGCCTGAGATTAAGCTGTTTTAAGTAATTAACATGAACAGATTTCTCACTAGCTATCTAAGAGCCACACTTTACTTTTCATCCAGCGCAGAACCTACCTTTACATTCATTATGGGAAAGCAGACTGGAGAGAACGGTCTTTGGTCACCAAAAACAAAAAAACCCTGACTCATTTTGCTTCCATGAGCAAATACCTGCTGTATTCATCTTATTATTAATCTTACGTTTTGGTATTGGGTAAATGTCTAATTTTTCAAGCTAGTTAGCACACTAGAGTAAAATTGTGAGTAGATTTATGATTTTGGAGAAGAAATTGTTAACCCTCCCCCCAAATCGCAGCGTTCTACATAGGAATGAAATTGCCTGATGATGTGAAAGGTAATTTATTGTATAGTTTGTGATTGTTTCTGTGGAAAAAAAATTGGAGTTTTACCTGTAGAATACATGCAGAAAGATCGGGGGGTTGGGGTTTTTTTTATTTTTTTTGCTATGTTCTATGGTCTGTGGCCTAGCAATAAGCTGTCTTAGACATATGCAGGTTTGTGCCGGCTGGCTGTTAGGAAGCCTTTTATAACTCCTATATATACTTTTTTTTTTTCCTTTCCCTCCCAGAAATACTCTTAATTACTGCACCCTATATTCAAAACCACTGCTGAGATAAACACAAAAGAAATGATAAAATTTTTTCTTATGGTGAACAAACAAGGTCAAACGAGGCTCTCTAGATATTACGAGCACATGGAAATTCGTAAACGGACAATGCTGGAAGCTGAAGTAATCAAAAACTGTCTCTCCCGTTCAAAGGATCAGGTAAGTTTTTGTATTTTGTTCCCTAGCTATTTTATTTTAAACCAGATTACAAAACATTAGCATCTCACACCTTTTCCGTAAATAATTCTGAAAAGAAAACGTGAGCTTCCATTGCAGGCCATTATTTCATTCGTACCCATGAAGAGAAAAGCTGTGTTTCTATGTGTTCATGCAGATGATCTGTTACTCCATGTTGAATACATTTTTCTGAGGTTTATAGTTACCTGTTTCTTCCAAGTAGCCCAGAAATCCAGGAAGAATTTATTTTACCCTGTTATTACCTGTCTAGCAGTGATCTATAGATAGATACTATTGCTTCTTTGCGTGAAGGTAATAAGTATAGTAGTGGCAGCTCTAAGTTAAAGAACTTATGAGGAAGGATCCCAAATCATGAAACTATGATCTAAAATGTAGGATTTTTTTTAAAAACCCAAATTTTTAGGCCTTCTTATAGGCATTTTGATTTGAAAAGCAAGTTCATACTTTGTGCAAGAAAGTCAGAAAACACAAAAGTTGAACGTTTTCTTCAAGGAAAGTTAGATTTTCATGGTTCCTGTAATTGGCTCTTTAAGAAGAGCACCAAACTCAGCAGAATTGTCAAGCACGTTGGTTTACATTTGAAGAGAAATTTGTGACTTGGAATCTGAGAGGGGTTTTGGGGTTTGCTTTGCTGAAGTCAGCTTCTTTATTTTTCATTAACTATGTATGTCCTTGAACAGTGGTCGTCACATATTTTATTCTAGAAAACCTCAGTAAAAATACCAGTTCCTACAAAGTACTTTAGTTCACAGAATTGACACTGGCTAAAGAAATTAACCTCCCGAGACTGCTTGCAAGAGCTTTTTTAAACAGAAACTTCCCCGAAAGAAGGGTCAGTATACTACCATTTCAAGGACTGAACAAAATGATGTGCTTAAAAAAGGGCACTCACAAAGCAGTGGGTAACAGCACCATCTACTGGCTTCTGTCCTATTGTGAAATATGTATGGATTTTTCCCCTGGGTCTGGAAGTCCAATACTCTAGCATGTATATACTCTTGCATTTATATAAAAATATATATCATTTTTTACATCTGAAAATGAGCTTCAGATTGTCCCTTTTGGAATTGTTGCCATTTGAAGATTTAGGGGAAACTCTTGCATTATAACCCTGAACAGATTACTTCAGTTCTGCATGTCTTATTCTTGCATATGAAGAGTGTTTTAAGATCAGCAGACGAAAAGTTCCAACTAATACATAAATATTCTGCTAGATTTCCTTCAAGTCAAAATTGTTTGGGGGAGCTTGGGAAACCCATTGCTCTATGTAGGCCTTACAATGCAACAAAAGTTTCAACCCTTTGAGCACTGTATGTTTAATAATGTATTTTGCTTAAATAGCAAATACTATATTTGTCTGTTTTTGTTTCTGCCTAGTGCTCTTTCATTGAGTATAAGGACTTTAAGCTGGTCTACCGACAGTATGCAGCCCTTTTTGTAGTCGTTGGAATCAACGAGACAGAGGTAAAAAATTATATAAGCTCTTGAATATAAGTTTGTATTAATCACAGGTAAGAACGCAGTGTTTCCAATATGGAATTTTGCAAAATCAGAGAATTTCAAGGAGTCATTGCAAAATTGTTTTTATTGCTATTAAATAAAAAGAGGTATAAAAGAAAATGCAGTGTGTTTTGACTTCGTTTTATTGCAGTAGACTGAGCTCTGTTATCATGAGACAGTCTTCATGAGCTATATGCTGATTCTGCTTTCTGAACTTATATTTGATTAATGGAGGTGGGGTTTCTCAACAAACGTTAGCATTACAGCCATATCAGTTGTCTCATCTGCAGTGACTTTCTAACTGCTCATTGTTCTTAACCTCATTGGCCAAAGAAGGAATTCCCCTATTGTCAGCTGGAAATATGGCAAATTCTTGTATTAAAAAAAAAAGAAAAGGTATATCTAACTGAAAATTGACAAATACTGGTATTTCATGACTTCAAGCTGAGCCTGTTTACATTGATTCCCAGTTCTCAGAAATGAATTTAAAGCTTATTACTGGAGACCTTAGTGGGGCCATGTGGAAGATAGCTGGCGACTCTCACAGTGTCTTCAAGTCGGGGTTATAATGACATGCAATTTAGAGGAAATTCTTTTGGCTTTGGTATACCATGCAAAAATAATCTATCTATCTACACTGCTGCAGCAGTTCATAGTATGATTCCTGCAGCTGGCAGACGCAGCTTCGACACAGGTAGGCATAGCCTAGTTAGCTGTCTTTATCTAGCTAACGCTGGTGACAGTAGAAGAAAGGATGCGATGGAACGGCAGCAGCCCAAGCAGAACAAATCCAGTAGGCATTGCAGTGCTTACTCATGTGGCTCGCCTGTCCTGAAGCTTATGCTCCTGAGCTCTCCCTGCTCTTGGTACCTCAGATATGTAACCACACCTCCTCTCGCAATGATAGCCTGAGTTTGTGCACTTCATTGTAGTACTTATCATTATTTTCTGATTTACATACATCACAAATTAAAATAATGCAAATACTACTATAATAGTTTCTATCCATTCATTTAATATTCACTTGTTTTTAATTTAATTTCAGAATGAGATGGCAGTATATGAGCTAATTCATAATTTTGTGGAGGTTTTGGACAAGTACTTCAGCAGAGTGGTGAGTGAGACATTGAGTTAACTACAAAGCATTTCTTCTCTTTCAAAGCCTCAGTGAATACATTGCTTCAGGGAATAAATGAGGAGGGGAAATAATTTTTTTTTTTTATATTCATGCAGAAATTTGAGAACTTTAGCATGAATATTGTAACCATAACGAAGCAATATCAGGAGATTTTTCAAAGTTCTTTTCAGAGAAGTTAAAGCATGCATGGATTATAAATCATCAGACAGGGAATACCAGAAATACTTTTGCTAGAAAATGGTGGTTTTTATATGCTTATACTCAGGAGGTTCTTTGGGTCATCTACTCCAGAAGTAGCCAATGGCATTTTCTACTTCACATTTTTCCTTTACGTTTCTCAGCGTTACATCCCCAAATACACTTCATTCATGATAAAGATGGTAAAAGCATTGAGCAGGGATCTTGACATCTCTCATGTTGAACAAGCTTAGAAGGATGGAACAAATGAAATCTCAACAACTAATCTGTACTTGTGCTCCCCAAATTATCGTCACATAACGGTGGGGCTCTGATAAAACAGCTATTATATAAGTCATTTAGTTAAGAATTCACCATCAGACTCTAGTTAAAATGAAGCATTGCTGCTCTTTCAGGTGGGAGGTTTTTTGTTTGTTTTTATGAAGTTTGTAAATGCAGCATTATAATCCTGTATAGAACTTGTGCTATTAAATATTGTTCAAGTGCTGTTTAATATAGGATTTGTAAAGATCTTGTTAGAAAAATTCAGCTGAAGTCATATTTAGGCAGTGTTTCAGTTTGGCTATGTTCAAATGTGTTGGACATCCTTCTTACAAAAGAGGACTGGATAGAATTTCTCCCAGAGTCCATCAGCTTGAGGGTATTGCAGTGGTAATTATACATACAAGCGATCAGTATGCAGGGTTTGTAACATTGATTTCCCTAGTACTAGTACTGCAGCAAAAATAAGAGGAAAAGCAGAGATGGCAGAACTTCTGTGTGAATTCAAGGGCATGCTTGATAAGGTCATCTAACTCCCCCACCATTTGGATGCTTGGCGGATGCTTCAGGCTATTATCTCAGCTAACACTGTGCCTTTCCGTTGAAAATTGGTTGGTACTGAGTATATGGCTTTCTGATTGTACTAAGCTTAGAATTTGCTTCTTGAAACTGTTAGGATTGCAGTCACAACGTAAGCAGTGATAACGAGGAATGGAATTTGATCCCTGCAGCGCAAGAATGCACAGTAAAATTTACTAGCATCGTGTTTATCTAATTGAGGTAATAGCTGCCAACCATTTCTCAAGTTTTATTCTCTTCAGTTGAGGTAGAACAAAAATAGATGTAGTTCTTATATGTATAAACACAGTATGTGTCATTTCTTGACTGTACATGTGATCCGTCCACTGACAGTTGTTAGAAATTTGCTGAATTCATCATAACAGGGATTTTAGTATTATTCATAGCAGTTAAGATTTAAAACTAGGAGAACTGAGAAGGGGAGTGGTTAAATAAATCTCATACCATTCCATGGTTCTATTTTTAATGGCATGTAATACAAAATAAATAGCAAAACACTGAATAACAGGGCTATAATTCTAGCTAGGGTTTCTGGTAGAAACCACAGACCAAAAAAGTATTAGGTCTGTACTGTTATGGATAAATGATTAGGATTTGCAGAATTTTACAAGAATCCCAAATTATGATGATGACAGCAGAAACAAAACTGTGGGAAGGAAAAGAACATCTGTCCTGATGTAGAGGGACATTTTGTCATCTCTGTATTTTTAGTTTTGTGAGTTTAAACATTCTCACATAAGCTATTTTTATCCAATGGAGTTTACAGAGCTTGAATTCAGATATCAGAACAAACATTTACAGAATTAGGAGCAAGTTTTCAGAGTTGCCCCTGAGATTTAATTCTGAGTCTCCTTCATTTTCATCGTGGCTACCCAGGGAGAACTCTGCATACTGTTCAGAATAGATACTCCACCATTTTCAACTTCCTTTTAATATTAAGTAAGTTGAAGTTGATCAGGCTCTTGAAGTGTAATTTTTGTGGTCCCAGAATCACAGAACAGTTGAGGTTGGAAGGGACCTCTGGAGATCATCTAGTCCAACCCCCCTGCTCAAGCAGGGTCACCTGGAGCACGTTGCCCAGGATTGTGTCCAAACGACTTTTGAATACCTCCAGGGGAGGAGACTCCACAACCTCTCTGGGCAACCTGTTCCAATGCTCTGTCACCTTCACAGTAAAGAAGATGGAACTTATATTCAGATGGAACTTCCTACGTTTCAGGTTGTGCCCATTGCCTCTTGTCCTGTCGCTGGGCACCACGGAGAAGAGTCTGGCCCCCATCCTCTTGACACCCTCCCTTCAGATACTTGTACACATTGATAAGATCCCTTCTCAGTCTTCTCTTCTCCAGGCTGAACAGGCCCGGCTCTCACAGCCTTTCTTCACAGGAGAGATGCTCCAGTCCCCTCATCACCTTTGTAGCCCTCCGCTGGACTCTCTCCAGTAGCGCCATGTCTCTCTTGTACTGGGGATCCCAGAATAGGACCCAGTACTCCAGGGGAGGCCTCCCCAGGGCTGAGGAGAGGGGCAGGATCACCTCCCTCGACCTGCTGGCAACACTCTGCCTAATGCACCCCAGGATGCCATTGGCCTTCTTGGCCGCAAGGGCACGTTGCTGGCTCATGCTCAACTTGTCCACCAGGACTCCCAGGTCCTTCTCTGCAGAGCTACTTTCCAGCAGGTCAGCCCGCAGCCTGTACTGCTGCATGGGGTTCTTCCTCCCTAGGTGCAGGACTCTGCATTTGCTTTTGCTGAACTCGATGAGGTTCTGCTCTGCCCATCAACCCAGCCTGTCAAGCCTGTGATGCAGAAAAGATTTTTAATTGAAGGATAGCAAGATCACTCAGTTGAGGCCTGTCGTAGACTAGAACTGCCTATTTAGAGCATCTTTAGACCATAGTAGCATTAGTAATTTTATAAGTGGAAACTCCCCCTAAAAATCCAGGGTTAGATTGTAAATAGAATCTGTAGTGGCAAAATTCCTAAATTCCTTTGGTAGCAGATGAAGAAGTTCTGTGGGAACAGGCATCTGTCTTTAAGCAGAGATTAGGAAAGTTCCACCCCAGCTGTGCAGGATCTTAATCACTGTGGCTGTGATTAATCGTTTCTAAATTTAGACATTTAACTGAGGCACCAAAGTTAGAAGTCTGGTCATCCTATGCTCCCATTATGGTCAGTGGAGACAGATGAGGAGCTCTAGAAAGTGAGTCACGTCTCAAGTGTGCTGAGTCAACTAACTCTTGGAGATACCTGTCTCTTCTGTTGACTGTAGAGAGAACATAAGCGCTTCTAGTTCCAACACTTCAGTTAAGTGACTAAAGCTTGGGGTAGATCCAGGCCGAGAATAGAATGGAAATGATGACCGTGGAAATGGTGTTGTTTGGGCTGGAGCGGTAGTTGAAAAGTGCCAGGGGTCCAGGCCTTCGACTGGCCTTCCCTCTCCTGCTCTGTCTACCACAGCCATGGGTATGCACCATATCTAGATTTTGCTGATGAAATGATATGCAGCAAAATATTTAACTGCATTTTTATATACATTGAAAAGTTGGCATTAACATCCTGTTTTTACAGAAAGCAAAAGAGAGAACTTACTTAGGGCTGGAGTTGCTATGATTAACAATACTGTTTTAGGCTGGTTTTCTACCTGCTCATTCAGACAGCACTGCATATATTCAGAATGTTACTTGTGGGTGATCTCTGGGGGTTTTTTTGTGTGTGTGTGTTTTTTTTTTTTTTAAGTAAAAATTTCATAACGTTATCTTTTGTTATGGAGGCAGATGACATATCAAAGACAAAGGAAGGCTGCAGGTTAGAACATGGAACTGTACAGTCCAGAACAGAAAGCTGAATAGCCCTAAAGTTTTACATCTGTATTTTGAAGACTTTATCCTCTAAAGGGAGTAATGTGTCACGTTTAATGACTATGAGATGAAAGATCAAACTGTAACTAAAGGTTATCTGTTTCTTTTTCTTTCAGAGTGAATTAGATGTATCCTTTTCAATATCAGAAATCCTTCTGTTTTTTTTTTTTTTTTTTGCTGTACCAGTTCATACTGTCTTGATAGTGATGACTGTCAAGCGGTCAAGACAATGCAGAGTCATGGTTTCACAAATTTCGCACCTGGAGTAAGTAGCAATATTTTCGCAGCCATCTGAAAATGTGGCTGATATTCATTAAGGTTTCCTGTTTAGATCCTCAGCCATTAAGATGAACCTGGTGTCATTTAAAGTAAGACAGGGAGAATGTGCTTTCAGACAACTGTATAATGCCAACATAGAGACATGAACGGTTATATTTATGGGGAACTTTCAGGTTTAAATGAGGATTACTTCAGGATTTTACTTTTTTCCTCAAATTTGCAAAAAAAGTAGACATTGAAATAAACTACAGTTATAAGAAATGAATATTATAGCTGTGTCTTGATCCAAATAGTAGAGCAGTAGCATCATTGCAAGATTAGGTTTCCACTTGGATCTTGCTTTATGAAAGTTTAGGTGAATTTTATTTACCTTGTCAGAAAACAGAGAGGAAACAGAGAGGCTCAGGAGAAGGAAATGCCATTGCCACAGACGCATCTGAATTTTTTTCTTTTTCATATACAGCCATATTTTCACAGGTACCATCTAAAGGGTATTAGCCAAAATATAATCAAAACTGAAATAAAACCAAATACAAACAAACACTAAGAACTAAAATACAATCCTAAATACTTAAACACAATTAGTAAATAAATAAAATACAATAATGAATACTAAAATACAAAGAAAAGTGAGCTAGGAGAATGTAGCACAAACATCGTTCTCTCACAGTAAATACCTAGTCCTAGTTCTTCAGTCTTTTTCCTCCTCAGTTCTTCCAGTCCGAAATTTCCACGGCCTGCTGTCTGTAGTTCAGTAGTTCTTACGACTATAAATGTGGTTGGTTATGTGAGGTTATGTGGCTGGTACAAAGGGTTTCAGGTATACACCTGAAATACAGTTGTCATTCTGGAATCAAATACTTAAATAATTTTGTTTAATTACCTTACTTAATAAATAATATATAGGAAAATATAGAAAAAAATCATAAATTTTCTTGTAATCATTCTCACTACTGAAAAAAGCAAAAGGGAATGATCTAATTAATTTTGCTTGCATAAATATTTTAATCCTTGCTTTTTACATACATGCTGGAACTCTGGCTCATTTACTGAACTCAAATTTATTTGTTTAAATACACACGCGCGCACACACACACACATGCTGTATTTCTTTCCTGAAATATAAGAAATGCTTTGGTATTCGTATAAGACTCCCAAGTTCACTTACATTATAAAAGAGCAATAATGAAATTTCAGCATGAAGGGACTCTTAAGGTCTCTCAATGATTGTATGACTACATTTTTTTATATTCAGTTATTGTAGTTAAGGATTAGAACTATGTACCTGTCTTAAGAGTTTTGCTGAATTAGAGACTAACCTGCCATACTCAGTAATTATACATAAAAATGGCCCCTTATGTTTCCATATGGAGTGCTTTGAGTATGCATTTACACATTTTTTTTTTTTTAATCTTAGTTTGTTTTGAGTACTGATGATTCTAAATTCCGCCTGCCTCTGGTCATCATTTTCATACTGTGAGGAATTTTCTTTAGTTATATGCTTGCATGTACACATCCACAAAATCACTAGTAGCCCAATTAATGGTTGAGAAAAGCCCCTGCATATCTCTCAAGCTTCTACATGCAATGTTAATTTGCATTGTTTGGAGGAGTTCTAGCATTATATGCTAACACTAACACTTGAGACTTGCAGTACTGTGTCTGTGTAACTCCCTGTAGAAAGTCATCATCTTCTACATGGTTCACATCTGCATGAAGATGTGAATGTAAGTGTTTGGAAAGTAGGATTGTACATTACTATCTTATTTGATAATGATTACCTGAAAGAAGGTTCTCAAGTCTCGACTGTGCAAAATTTGGAAAACCTCATGGGTGATATGGCCTTCCTCAATGTGTGTGAGGTACATATTTTTCCATTCAGAAGTGCACTTTTTTACATTGTACCTTTTAGGAGCAATTTTAAAACATTTTGCTTCTGTGTGTTTATATACATACACACACACAGAATTATTCTCTCATTTAGGAAAAAGAATTTTTCATAGGCTAAGATAGGCAAAATAGTTCAAGTGAAGAGAGAGATCCTCAACATTAAATGTAGAGGTATAGTGATGACTGTGATGACAGGTGGGCTGTTCAGAATCGTATTTATCTTTCACAACAGCTTGAACAGCAGATAAACAGGTCCAGAAGAACAATATAGGATCTGGACTACAAGTGTTTTAGACAGCTGTTTATGCAGTGCAAACAATAATCTGTCAATATGCCTTTCATAGAATATAAAGTTAACATCCCCACCTGGGATTAAACCATTTCCTTTGCCAAATAGTCTTAGCTAACTCTTACATTCAGTATAATTAACTTGGAAGCCTAACATCTGATGGAGGAAGTACAGTTGGAATGCCTGTAACAGCAAGCACCAAGCGTTATTTATAGACTCTTTGTATACTGAGTATCTGCCTGGAGATTGTCATCATTTCCTATCTCTGTGATACTATTTTTGTGTATAGATGCACATGAAGTTTCTTTTAAAAGTGATAGCAGCTATTTTATATTGAAAGTAATATTTACTAACATGCAAAATATAGCAAGAATCTATATGAAATCCAGAAACATAAAAAATAGAGCATAATCACATTTAAAAGCTATTCACCCATTCAGAGCAAACCACAGTTAAATCTAAAATGAGTTGTTACTATCACACTATTGAATTATTCCTGGGATCCATGCTAAGGCAGCACGTATGTCCACTGATTTTTAAAACATACTCAGCCTCCTAATGCAGCTGCTTGTAACGTGGGACTCGAGCTTGCATTTAAGTCCCAACGCCTTCATTCACCCAAGCCGCCTGCATCCTAGCTTGCATACTGGCCCGAGTCTGGAACCAGCTATCACAAAGGGGCCCTGGGGCACAAAACACAGACGAGATCCAATCTGAATCCTACCCAACAGATTCATACGTAATATATATGGGTACATATGGGGGGGGCGGTGTGCATGTGTGACTGAAGAATGCCTGCAAGATTGCAAGATTATCATCTTATGCATATTACAAAATTGAACATAGTAACTACAATTGAGTAACTGCTTCAACTCTTGAATAGCCATGGTTTTTAATGGTGCTTTTATGTGTGAATTCTAAAGCCTCTAGCCATTACACGAGATGATGTCCGCTTTCATTCTGGAAGTCAGTCAGTCAAATAGTTAAGGGTACTTAGGATGAAAAGCAGTAAAACTTCCAAACCCCCTTTTAAAGCTGCTTTTAAAGCAGAGGCAAGTATTTAATTGTGTTGTTGGGCCAGTTGAATGAGTAAGTACTAAAATTGTTCTAGCAATGTTGTTTCCTATTGCGTTAATATAACTTGATGAGCTTTTGTGTATCACGTAGTAGGTGGAATTTTTTTACCTCTAAAACTACAGCTTGGGTAGTGTAGAACCCACTTTCCTGGAGTGATTATGACCAAAAAAGATTATAAGAATTAAGGTGTTATCACAGCAACTTTGTAGGGAAGAATATACTGGTAAGTGTGGGAGTTCCTAAAATCACTAACAGTTGACTTTTCTGTAGCTTGAACTGGTGAAGTAAAGCTTCCTCAAAGACACATTATTAGTTTATGGAAGAAACAAATACATACGTTCCTGTTGTGGGAGGCATGGGGGAAGACCGAGTTCTCTAGAACCAAGCGTTTGAAGCATGTTGTCCTGATTTTTAAAAAAAATTACATCCCATTGCAACTAGTTTATTCTTCCTCTTCTCAGATAAAAGGCTTTGATACAGGAAATACTTCTGTGAGTCATTGTATTCTAACTCCCTCCCTCCTTTGGAATAACACTTTCAGAATATGGCACGTTTAAGTAATGATGAGAAAAATCAAATGATAAATTTATACTGAGAGTTTATAAGGATACACTTCAGTTTGTACTCTAAAATAAGAGAATTAAATGGAAATCTGTAGGATTAGTTTAAAACTGCTTGTTCACTAAGGGAAAAGCTTCCCTCTAGGACTGTGATGCAGGAAGAGATGTACTCACGTAAGGTGAATCAGCCAGCCTTCCAGCTTTCTGTGAGACTATAACCATAGAAATTACCAGAGTAGGAACCACTGGTTGCTCCCACAGTAGGGACAGATATCCTAGAACACCACAGAATTTGAAGGTACCATTTGTCCCCTATTTAATGTTAGCATAGTTGTTTGAGGGGAAAAAAAAAAAACACTCAGAAAGCATTAAATGGGTTTTTGGCGACTAAAATTAGCCTACCATTAGATAGGCTAGAAGTTATTTTAAAGCAAATGTTAGTAAAGATAAAGTCAGAATACATGATGTTTCTTAACTGTAGACAAAAAAAGAAGCAAAGTTAACCTTTAGTTGAAGATTTATTACCAGGATGGAAATCAAGGTTTTGCAATGGCTGTATATTCAGTAACAAACCATCTACCCCTTAAGTAGTGCTGTAATCCACAGAGCTTTTGTTTGTACTCTTGGGTGTGTTGCCTGATCACAAAGTGTTGACTGCACCTTATCTCCTAAGCCTGTACACACCCTTAATTACTCACCTAGAAAATCCTGAGATACCTTAAAATGTCCCTATATGAAGAACGTGTATGTCACGATTAAGTCTTGAATGTGCCTCTTTACTCCTTTCCTTCCCTCTTCCTTCTCCACCCTTCTCAACTGTTTGCCTATATGATATTTCAGGGAAGGAGACACAAGACGGTGTATCACATTTAGCTCCTTTTTGTATGTACGTGCTATAAAACCTATTTGTGAGAGTAGAAAAACATCACTATTTCCTTAGTGGGGGCAGCTCTTTGAGCCACTAAAAGTCAGCATAGGATTTAAGTATCAGTTTCAGTGGGTGCCAGGTACCTACCCAGAATGGCATTGAGTGAAATCTATAAGCCGAAGACTGCAGTAAATTTTCAACCTATGCAGAAGCTGAGCCCTGTAAGTATTTCCTACTAGCTAAAAGTTTTGTTTTGCATACTTGTTTTTTTTTTTTTTAAAAAAAAAAAAAAGCCTGTTAACCTCTGACAACAGAGATCTATGGAAAGTCCCTCAGTGGCAGCCAGGATTCTTACTGGAAGCAGGACCTTTAGTGAGAGCTGTGGGCAGTGAACATGTCAGTGCACGCACCATATACAGCTTTTCCTCCTCTTGCCAGTTGCTCGGACTGGTTTGAGCTGCTGCTCGGCAACTGGGTGTGGCTCTGTGACTTCAGGACTTGAAACCCTGAAATTTGGGATCACTTGCCAAACACGTGACAGATGGGGAGGATGAGTATTGCTGAGGATCAGAGACGGGTGACCCTCACTGGGCAGGGCATTCAGACTCGCATGGCTAAGTGATGTTTGTATGGCAAGATGCAACAGTAGCGGACAGTCACAAGACTTAGAGGAAGGGAAAAAAGAGCCAAGATTGCTCACTGTGTAAGTGTGAATGTTTGCCAAGAACAGCATGGGAAAGCGAGGTGGGAACGGAACTGAAAAAGGAAGCCTGGACGTTTGGTTCAGGGGAGAGGGTAAACAATACTTTGAAACTTTCCAAAATTAAGATGAGAGATCTTTCCAGAATGGTAAGTTAGTATCCACATTCAAGCTGCAGGTGAAATCATTGCTTCCAGAAAGATGGCTGGGCAGTGCAAGATTAACAGGTTACAGATGGACAGAGAAATCACACCACTAAATTTCCTTAGGTCCATTTTGAAGTAAGCTGGAATGGTCCTAAAATAGAAATGGCATCTCATTTAGCCATACTGGGTTTGAGTGGAACGGCCGCAGGATACCTAATGATATGTGTGCAGTTTTCCTTAGACGTGGTATCAGCTCTTTAGAAAATGCAGCAGGGCAAAGAGCAGTCCTAAGCGTTCAAAGTGCTTTCTCAAACAAGGTGATGCTGGAAAATAGTGCTAGTTCGCTGCCTTATCACTGTTTCTAGTTGTTACAGTCTTCTACGTTTTAGAATCTCTGAATTCTTGAAGGGCGAGGAAAGCCTGGGCAGACAGAGGAAAGCAGTCTTGCTGCTCCTCTGTAGGATTTATAGCGCTGTGAATCACTTAGATTGGTAGAGTGCAGAAAGATAAAGCCACTCCTGCTGGTTTTGAAACTTGTTGAAACCTGAATGGAATGTTATCTAACTTTGGTAACACATCCGCTTGTCTACTGTAGAGCACTGTGTCACGGCTCAACTAAAGAGGAATAGAAGAACTGTCTTTCTAAAAATTCTCACATTACTATAATAGAAAAGCCTGTAACATCTCAGATTAAAAAACAGTTCCATAAAGACTGATCTACTTGAGAAGTGTAATATAAGAACTTTGTCTTAAGTCTTTAATCTGCCAAGCAAAGTAAAAGGGCTACTTCTGGCTCTATAGCCAGAGAAGCTGATGTTACTAAAAGCTTGTCGGACAGTACTGTTCATCAGTGCTCGAGGGCCTGAATCTGAAAGCCAAATTCAGAAAGCAGTCTGGTATTTAAAATGCAACTTACTTAGAACTAGGCGCCCAGGTTTAGGTCAGCAAAGTGGAAGCTCTCTGATGAATGAGATATTTTGTGAGCTTTATTATTAGATTAATGCATCAGCTGTTTCGTATCAGCCAATTCCTTTTAAGAAGCTATTTTCAAGCAGGTCAAATAAATACCACCAGTACCTTAGGGTAAGGAAATTCTCTGTTAAGAATCACATTTTAGGAATTTTTCAGCAAGTGACTGGCAAATGTTTTACTTAGAAGAAATGCAGTATATCTGCATCTTCACATTCAAGTTTGTTGTCCATTGATAACAATATTTTATATTCAAGCAGTAAATAGTACCAGATAGTAAAATTAACCACCTATATCTTTTTCAAGTTTACCTTTCTTTTACTATGTGAAAAATCTTCCAAGATGCAACATTGTGGGTGCTCTATCATCTTCTCTGCTACAAACTTTGGACATCTCCGTGGCCAGGCAAAAACAGATCAGTGGAACTGTTAGCGCTAGTAAAATAAACAGCCAAACAAAAAAGAATTTAGGAATACGTATTATTTGTAAATTTTAATCAAGGACAAGGACTAAGATGCCTACAACTTTCTCTGAATTATCTTCATGCTGTTCAAAATATACTTAACTTGAAATGTTTCTAGATAATGTTCAATTTGGACAGAGTGCACATCATTTTGGATGAAATGGTGTTAAATGGTTGCATCGTGGAAACAAACAGAAGCAGAATTCTTGCACCTCTGTGCGTGCTTGACAAAGTAGCGGAAAAATAGCAAGATGCAAGAATGAACAGTGTTTTACAAAGACAGTGAAACCATCAAGACCATACCAACAGCAATTTTCTGTTTTCGTAAGGCCAACTCATGCAATAGTGAGACTTCTTGGAAAATATTCCATTTATTACCCTACCTACCCAATGGAAAGATACAGCTAAACATAAAATGGAATCTTAAATTTGCAACTTTCTATTGACACAGCAGAAGTCTTTCTAAAACAGCCAACATCATTTTTTAATTCACTGAGGATAAAAGAATGGAAATTTGCATTACTGTCAAGTCATGTGTGCACTTTAGTATCACTTTGTATTATGTTACATAGTGCCAGACCTAGGAGAAGAGAGAAAATTCAGAAATATAGTTTCAAATGGCGTTTCAGCCCTTCCTTTAAAGCACTAACTTGAATTTTTATTTTCATACAACTGTAAATTACATTTCTGTAACTTTTATGACCACTTTTAAACTAGATTCTGCCTTCTTCAGAAAGCTGATTTCATTTGCTTTTCTACAGAAGTCATAGTTATGAAAGAAATGCAAGTAACAGAAGAATAGACATGTTTAAGATTCCTGCACACTGTGGAAGTTGTAACTAGAAATACTTAGCATTTATTAATAAAAATAATAAAAATTAAAGGATTGATTATATTTTATTCATCTTTTATCATATACCTATTGGCTTCATACGTTACACAAAATCTTTTCTATCTTGGCATACTGGTATTTTTTTTTTTTTCCCCCCTCTCATATATTCTCTGTCCACGTGTTATGATTAAAATCTCTGCAAAGATATGTAGCACAGATATGCAGCAAAGATATGCAAGTTTCTCACTACCAGTTAAATACCAAATCACGTCTTCCTTCTGGAGCAGGGGGAGGTAGCTCAGTAACAAAATTTTGACTCAAGTCTCTATGCTACAGTCTAAGTCACTGAAAAATTAGCAATCAGTTTACTTTCACTTACCGTCCTAGAATGAAGGTATCTGGCTCCTTTACAACCACCAAGCTAGCTCTAGGCATAATTAGATACTGAAACAGCATATATTGTGTGTACTTTATGTTTGCAGGGATCTAGATACAGCTAACTTGCATCCAAAGTCTAAAAGGTATTGAGTACAGTGTAGTGCGGACGAAAGTAGTCCTCAGCTTTCAATTTCCAAATTGTCTTCCTGTTATCTAGGAAACCTGAATGTCCTGAAACAGAATGGCATTCCAGCTTTTTGAACTGAAGATACCATCAAATATAAGCATTTCTTGTAGATTACCATACAACCGCAAACTTTTAATTGAAGATACTAAATATGATTTTGTGGACCTCTATAAACAGTACACTCGTCTACAGTCTAGAAGCCATTAGCCCAGTATCTCAGCAGGTTGCTGAGGCAAATAACCACTACTTTCCCTCTCAGCACAGAACCATGCAAAACTGTTAAGTAGCTACAGAAAACACAAATAAGACCATTTCTTTCATTAGCAACAAAAATAGTTAACAATCATGAAGGCAGAAAACAGCCAGTATTCCCAAACAATCCTCTAATTAGAAGAAAAAGCTTGACGGGTTCAGCATGAAATCAGAATTCTGACACCCGTTCTTTAGGCCACTTGTCCTGCCCCTTCCCTATTCCCCAGCTCAGATACGAGTCTGAGTATTCTGCTGTAGAACGACCCAAGCTGCTTATACCGATAATGAGCTTTTCTGGATGAGGTAGCTTTAAAATAATAACGCGTTCAGCAAAACAGGTTAACATTGGATCTGGAGGAGATGCTCATACACTGCATTTATTTAAGTGTTGTGTTGAAACAAGCAAGAATTTTGCCAAGTATCCCAGACACCAGCCCTGGAGCTGAATCCACGATTCAAAGTAGCACTGGAGAGAGATTCAGAGTATTATGGGTTTTTTGTGTGCATATATGCACAGACACATGCTGCTTTTTCGAATCTCTAAAATATTTGTCTTTCCTGAAAATTGTCTTTTTTGATCACTTCAAAACTAGAAGAGATTATATATTAATATGTAAAGGAACCAGCTTTCCAGAGAGATTCTGCAGTCTGCACGTGCGTTTGCTGGAATCCTTGTAATCGTCATTTCTCTTCCCCTGTTCCTTTATGGGCCTTAGGTTTTATTACAGATGTAACATACTTCTAAAACTCTTGCTGCTTTGGACTTAAGATGGTCACTATATAGGAATTTCCTGCTTCAAACAGAGATCATCAACGGGAATCAACAAAATAAAAACAAATCTTAAATCAAAAAGTATTTCTGTGAATACTCAGTGTATTCAGAGCATCCTTCTCCCTCTTTAGAGGCATCGGAAAATAGCTAACATAGATATCCCATTTCCAAGAAATGGATCAACACAGAGGCAGTGCTGAAGCTCCTTTCTGAAGATAGGGGCTAGAGTTTCTCCTGTCCTCAGTAGCACAATACTACTAGTTGCAATCAGGAAGAAATATTACTTTGAGATTAACAGTGATCTCCTATAAACTAAATTTCACTGTAATTTTGTCACACAGATATAGATCTTTTCCCAAAACACAGTACAAAACTTTTAATGCAGCTTACTTGGCTGTCTGAACTCTGAACATGCATTAGCTCAGGGTTTATTTTCTCGCCACCTTATCAAATGTCTCACTTTGGCACAGACACCCACGGTAGCAGGGAGTTACGTTTCTGTGCTGTCCTGCATCTGTTGTTTTTTTTTTTTTTTTCAAATGGGGCAGGAAGGGCAATGGGGGCGGGGGGTTGTTGTTTTGCCCCTCCCCCCCTTAATGCAGCACAGGGGAAAATCCCAGTGAAGATGAATACTATAAATAATATAAAAAGAAAATTGGAATCTGCTTGGTTTATGTTTGAGGCAAAATCTTTTGGCAAGCTCTTCCTTAGCTCTTCCTCTTCTTGTCAAAGCAAAAATCCAGCTACCAAGAGAAGTGACACAGAAGAAAGCTCATCAGACAGATTCAACTAATATATTCATTTTTCTTTTAGAGTATCAAGTAAAGATATTTTAAGACATATACTAACACCTTATTTGTTTTATTGTATTATAAGTCACTATCTACCGAGAAATACCTCACCACGTGATGAAAGCAAGACAGGCATCCCATCCCAAGAAAGGCTGAATCAGCTGCATTATGTGGCCCAGTTTTCACTCCAGTGTAAAGATTTATAACCTCAGCTCACATGGGCACACCGAAATGCATAGAAAACAGCCACATGCTAATGTTATCATTGCCAGATTAGTTCTTAAGAAGTTACACTGTGTCATTTCGAAAAAATTTGAGCACACGGATGAGTTAGTGAGAATGATTATTCACATATAGTTTTTAACCTTGGAAAAAAGGCACATTGTTGAGAACATGTACACAGTTTTAATAAAATTTGAAAAATTAATGAAATATTCAGAGGAGACAGTTTTGTACGCTGCAAACGTTTTAATGATTACTGTTAAGCTTACACATTGGGTTTTTTTCTTTTTAAACTTCAAACTGCAACAAGTTAAATAAATGTTTATAATATACAAAGAAAATACAACCAAAAGTAAAACTTGCTTTAAGTGTGCCTTGCACTAGGAACCAGTGTTTTTTTAATAGCTTTATTGTTGAGCTGCACAAACACACTTAAGGATTTGATCTTTAAGCAGGGCATTTCAGAAATTAAAATATATTCCCACTTGAAAGAAAAGGAAAAAAAAAAAGTTGTGCATGATTATATGCAAAAACCCACTAAAATACTCCAATAGGGCAGGCACCATTAAAAAAGAAAAAGCTGGAGATGCCCATTAACTCTAAGTTTTAAGGAAGCAAGTTTCTGACCAGTTAGCTTGAAGCCAGCAAAATAGGGATCAGTGATGGCAACTGTAGTGTACAAGGTATTAAATGACAAACTTTACACAAATACACTGTTAGAAATTTGTATCAGTGAACACTGAAAATCTGATGATCTGTTCTTTGGAACAGTCAAACAAAACCACCTTAATTTCCAGTTGTGCAAGCCCTTGAAGCATCACACAGTGTTCTGTGCCAATTTCTTGCTGGCTGTGTAGTTACAAGGATTTATTTTTGTCGTTAGCAGCTAACAAACTTATCCCACATGTTCCTAAAGCCTCACAGGTGGAAAAAAAGGCAAGTCTTCAGAGCACAGCGTGGAGATCATATTTTTTGCACACAAACACAAGAGGCTTCACTAGTATCAAAAAACACTTTCATGTCCCATGTTGCAGTCAGCAGCTCAATTGAGATGGAAGCCTTTCTCCATTGTAGCAGCTAGCAGGCGCTCTCGCATAATCTCCTCAGAAGAATACTCAGGCAACTTCAGGTAATGCACACACGTATTCACAGACGGATAACTTGCATCTGTAGCATCAACCTGAGAAAAAGGAAGAATATTTGTTACTGCATTTGTTCACAATACTTTATATGGAAGTTAAAAGTTGTCAGGTCCTCTCGTCCATGGAATTTACTATATGCAGAACATCCGGATGTCAAACAGCGGCATCACAAAAGCTACAGAGCAACTTAAAATTTTAATCTACTTTACACGTTTAATCCCTTTATATTAAATATGAAGTCAAGTAAGAGACCTTACTTGACTTGACCTTTAGCGGAACAGAAGTTAGCACTAAAAGCTTAGCACAGTGGTGTAAGTGAGCAACAATAAGAAATATCACTGATTTTTCCTCTATAGTGGCAGAAACTACACTCGCAAGCTAAAATAGCTCGTTTGAAAGGTAACCTGAAGAAGCCCTACCTTGCGTACAACAGTGAGTCGGGGATGAAGGTTTGCCAGTCCTCCTGGTGGGAGCGTTGAACAACCAGTAGTGAACTGGAGAAAAGCCTTTCTTTCATCTGAAGACATACCACACAAAACTCTTACAAATCGAAGGAATCCAGGGCTAAAAAAAACAAACCAAAAAAACCATCTGTGATAACAAGAGGGGGTTTCATTACAGGTTCCCTTAATTTGAGACAGAACAATGAGTATCTTTAGTTAAGTGTAAGTAGTCACAAAGATTCCAGTGCCTGATCAGTACTGATTTAAGCATAAAACGTTACAAAACAAAACATTAAAATGCTTCTTTAATCTCTTTGCTGGATGTTACACAAACAAAATCTATAAGTAGATAAAACCTGTTCTCCATACTTATCCTGCAGTATTATTTGGGTTTCTTGTGTATGAACTTGTAGAGAAGACGACAGAGCTCAAACCTAATCTATGAGAAGAATCCAACTGACCCTCATCTTAAGACCTTTTCTGTACCACTTGTGTAGTATAAAGCCACTTTCATTTTTATATGATTTCGTTTCTATCCTGTTAAAGGCCCCTATATAAGAAAACAAGAAAAACGTAACACTTGACAAAAAGGATCTTCAAGGATCTGCAGATACCACTGCTTTCATCCATATCAACCTGTGGGGTGAGGGGGAGGAGAGGGCATGAAGAAAGCACAGCCTACTGCAGTGCATCAGCAGATATCAGGCACTGTATCTCAGCTGGATCTTCACACACCGGCAGGGTCAGTAGAAGAACCCCTCCACAGAGCATCTGACACTGATTAGGATCCTTCAGCATGCTTGTACTAACACAGTTCCTTAAGTAATTTGTATGTCATTACTACC